TAAGGTATTTGAGGGCCACTACTACTGCCATTAGGTGAAGTACTAGATTTTTCTAGTAACAGTAACATTTTGATCATCCCATTTAGGGAGTGGTTTGTAACTTGCTTCCTTACCAGGCTGACAAGGTAATTAGGCAAATAAAGGCTGGAAACACTCTGAACTCCTCTGATGGAAAAAGAGTCTCAAATATTGTGATGTAGGGTAGATCAGGCACAACATTTTAAATTGAGATTCTGTAGTTTGGAGCATCCTTCACACAAGTATTAGAGCTGTTAATCTTTTAAAGGCCTCAAGTCCCGGGGAGGTGTAAATTCAATTGACCAGACTTGTCCACCTGATCATTTAACATTTCTACTCTCATTTGCTTCTTCCAAAATTATTATGCAAGCTGATGGCTTTGGAAACCTGTTAGTCCTTTTAGATTTGTCATCATTTTGATATGCAGGAGCTGCTAAGCCTTTGTTCTTGTAGCAGTCATTTGCCTGCGGTGCTGTCCTGTCTGTTTCAATCCATAGTTGCCTTTTGGTACTGGTGTGATGCTGTTGATGTCTGGCAACTAGTTAAAATCATCTGTGGCTTTTTTGTTTGTTTGCTTGTGGAGGCTTTATGTTTTGTTTAGCCATCTGAAAGTCTGCTTTAGTTACTTTAACTGTCTTGTGAATAGACTGGTGTTGCTGATTGTGATGATAAATTTGTGGTGGCGACAATTTATTGAAAACAAGATAACTTTTACAAAGAATACAAATGCCTTACTAAGGGCTAGAAATAATGATGACTGTAAAATTATATGTTCATTTATTTTTCCCCTCTCCATGAGTTTATTCTGTGGAGCATTTAATACATCTCGTCCTTAATAGAAGTTCTAAGGCTGAAAAATGGACAAAAAGGTCATGTGTTCCCATATGGGGCAATATGTAAGCTAATAAATAGAATATGGAGTAGATACACCTGGAGTACTGTCTAGCTCTGGACTTCTGTGTACCAGGAAGAGAGAGACTTGCTGGAGCAATTTAGAAGGTGGTTGCAAAAGTGATTTAGGAGTTAGGAGAGTCTTGAGAGCTGAAGCTTGATCTGATTGTTCAGCCTGGCTCTGTGCAGTTTCATGTCTTCATTCTCCCCAGCTTGGTGCCTGCTCCTTAGTTTTTTCACTGCAGTTTGTCACAGCACCTCATTACTCTGCTTAATAAGGAGCTGACTGAAACTTAAGTGTAATCCTATATATCTATACACACATATTTATATTTAAATTTGGCATTGTAAAATGCTTTTAATTAAAAGTATAATATATGTGCTCACTAGATGGCAGCAGATTCCCTAACTAACTGTGAGAATGACACATTCCCTGTTATCAGTAGGTATTTTGGATCTTCAGAGTGCAAATCAACTTTTAATACTGTATTTATGTTAAAATTAAAATACTAGTTAACAATATGCAGAACTTAATGCAATGTGCAGCTAATATTAGAGCTCCTCTGAAAAGAACTTAAGAACATGCCTTCTCAGCAGTGTTTCAAGACTGGATATGGAAGATTACATAGCTCATGAATGTCATCATATTTCTAGTTTTGGTTAGATATCTTCAGTTTTAAGCTATCTTGTCTTCTTATAACAGATAATGCAAAATGCAGAAGGAGAAGAAAATACATATGTCTTATGAGTTACTGCAAGTTTGATGTATAGATATTTCAAACTAAGTTTTAAAAACTACTCAAAAGTCTATTTTAATTTTTGGGTCAGACCTGAGTTTGGTTTTGCATTTCTGTAGCACATGTTCTTTGCATGTGTCAGTTGTGAAGAAAAGTAACCTTGGCCTGAGGTTTTCTGTTCTGAGTAGCGCTTCTGCATTTTATTAAATGAGCTTTTCAGATGATGAGTAACCTGAATTTGGTTACCAACCAGGGGAGTTGGCAGTGTGTGTTTGCACTGGAGCCTGTGTGTTAGTCTGTTAGACTGTATTTTAAAGAGACACTGAATCCTGGAAGAGTACTTTATGAGAAGAAATGGAGCAATGGAGAAAAATTAGTCTGTTCAGAAAGATGCTTTGGGATATCAGCCTGGAGATGCATTTCACAAGGATTTGGTCCTGTAAACTGTTGTTTTTGTATGTATTTCAGAGGAGGAAGCTGAGGAGGTCAACTCCTCTGTTAGAGGAAAATCAAATAAAGGAGTATCTAATGTGAGTGTATCTAGTGAAGCCCTTTTGTTCAAAAGGACTGCTTAGAAAGGGAGTAGCCAAGGAATATGTGGCCACTCCCATCCTTATTGCAGTTTTAGGTTGCCCAAACCAATATAAGATTGTGAGAAAGCAGAGACAACTGTATGGTGTACTTACTGGGAGCTTTCTTACTCTCATGTTGGACTGTTTGATCCATATTCCTGCTTGGGAAAGTCAGTCAGTAGGGCATGACCTAGCAAATTGAGTTTAGAGCTTGAAATCTTAAGTCAGTCTAATTTAGTCAGTAAAAAAATCTTAACTCAGTACTAAATTTAGTCTTTTTGTAAGACTAAATTTAGTATTTTAAAGTTTTGCTTTGACCACTTAGGGTGAGGCTTAATTGCATCTGTACTAATATCACAGTTCCAATGTGGTTTTTATGTATTGAAGAACTAAAGATAAGTGCTGCATTTTGTTTCTTGTTTTAGTTTCTTGTTGAATGGGATAATCCAGCTAATCATGCTTGTAGCTGAATACGTTTTCCATCTATGGAAACCTGTGGGCTTATTTGTTCCATTTTCATTAATACTTCTAGCTTGTGTCACACTTTTATGGAAGCCTTTTGAAAGATGGAATGTACTGCCTAGGATTTCTGTATATTCTCTGTGACACTGACAGTATACAGAAAAACTTCTTTTCTGTAGTAGCAGATTTCTTGGCAAAATGAAGATATTTGCATACTGCATCTTAATTGCACAAATGCTTTATATTCAGTGATTTGTTCTACTTAATCTTTTCTTACTCTGACATAGTAGTCTCAGTCTTCTGTTTGTGATGTGTTTATCAAAGCAGGCAGTGATGTAGAACTTTTTTGTTAGAGCAGGAATGGTTCATAACTCACAAGAGGCAGATCCCTGAGTGAGTCATTTAGGTCATTCCCACTTGTGTGGAAAAATATTACATCATTGCTCTGTACTCAGTGTTCTATTTATACCATGCCAGAATTTTAAGTACATTTTGCTTTTTTTAGATGCTGTAAACAGTATTGGGGGTTCGTCTAAAAGTAAAGTTACTGCTAGGCCATAGAAGGAGCATTACTGAATCAAATATTTACAGAATCCAGGAGTCAGAGGAGCACACTGTCTGCAAATTCAAGCTTGCCAAGGGTGTGGGGGTTGACCTTTGTAGCAGAAAGAGTAAAAGGCAGCACAGATTCATTCTATCCATAACCCTGTAGCTTTTCATGGTTTTTTCATGGTTCATTTTTTTTCTTCTCCTTCTTGGTTTTTATTAGACCAGTAAATAAAGGTGGAGCCATAGTTTTGAGCAGGTCTGACAGGTATTGATGAGAACACCTTTAACCTAAAGTTTTTTTTTTTTTTTTTGTTCTAGCAACTTCTTTTGGTTCATTCACAGCTTTCAATTTCAGGCATCCTCCTTGCATAGTTTTATGTTAAAAATGGAGTTATTCTGTCAGAATAGAGTCCCCTTGTATCCCCCAGGGAATTCTGCAGTTGCATCACTCTGTCCACACCTTCTGCATTTTCTCCAGCTTCAGATCTTGTATTGTTTGCAGAGTGCTTTTTTCTGCCTTTTTCACCAGGTTAAATCAGCCTCTGTGATTTCATTCTAAGACTTCCATACTGTAAACTGTGCAGTCAATGCTACTTTTTTTTGCAGGGATTTCTCTCACAACAAACTTAAACATTGATAGAGGTGATGAATTTTCCCTCAGGTTTAGCTAAGGGTACCAATTCTGAAGTTTCTTCTGAGCTGTATTCTGCTTTACTGCAGAACACTAAGAGAAGTGGTCCTTTTGTGTTATTTTGTGCATGTGTTCTTAAAAAATCTGTAGTATTGCTCTGGAGGCAACACCTTTGTGATGCAGCTTTTATCAGATCTTTGAATACAATGAACTGTACTGGGGTTGGGGTTTGTGCTTTCTTTTGTGTTTCTTTTCTTCCCTCAAGTTTCTGTTGTTGTGTTTACTGTAGGGCTTTTGCCTGCATCACAAAGTTCGTGAGAATTAATTCTCAAACTGGTAAGTTTTGAGAAATAATTCTCATTGCTGTTTCCTCTCATTGCTGTAGGAAAGGTTTAGGTGGATGTGAAATTAAGAGAGGACTGCAAGGAAAGTTGTTTCATTCAGAAAATGTGATGCTTTTCCTGTTTATTCTGAATCTGTACTGAAAATCTTCCAGTGTTAACAGGGTTGATTGTGTTTAAGTAGTTGAGTATGTATATTTTATATAAAACTGTCAAGCATCATGAAATTGGGCAGGGTCACAACTGTCTTCAAGAACAAAAATTGAACTGCAAAATGTCATCAGTGGTGGGTTAGGGGGTACAAAATTGAGAGTACAAAGGAGCTAGAAATTATTCAAGAGAAGTAATTTACTATAGCTTGATGGGATTGTGTGCATGATGGGTAATTCGTGTGTGCACTATTAACACATGGCAAGTGTGATGAACTTAAGTTACAGCAACTGACTCATTGAGAGCAATCCACAGGCAGTCCTGACTTCAGCTTGAAATTGAGATCTTGATTCCTTTTGTGTATTGGAAATGCCATGATGTTCTTAATGGATAATCCATAAAGGTGACAGTTCCTGGTTTCAGGATGCATTTCTTTAGTTATTTATGTCTTCTGTGCAGCTCTAGTTGCATTTTTTTTCCATTGTAGATCCTGAGCATTCCGGTTTGTTGTCCTGCAGTTACTGTTGTGTTTGGGAATGCCAGCAGTCTGCCTCCTTGGAGTGCAGAGCTCAGATACCTGCCTTAATGTTTCATGCAATATTTTAAAGCACTGTGTCAATGCAGACTTTGTGTTGCCCTGTGTTCCCAGGTGACCGGGTCATAGACGTGGGCTCAGAGTGGAGAACGTTCAGCAATGACAAAGCAACCAAAGACCCATCTCGAGTTGGGGACACCCAGAATCCTTTGCTCAGTGATGGTGACTTGAGTACAATGATTGGCAAGGTAACACTGGAAATACTAAAGTTTGCTGAGTGTTTTTATTTCAAGTACCAGGTGGCACTCCATAGAAAAACTATACAACATGTATTTTTGAAGAGATTTTCACCTGAACTGAAGTTGCATGTTTCAACAGTCTATAAAATGTGGCCCTTTCCTGAGGATAGAAGGAAAGGGCCAACCTTTGCAGAAAAACCAAAAAGTTTGCAGTGTTGTGGGGTTACTTGCTACGCTTAGATATGTTGCTATAAATAGGAAAGCTGATGTTGCAATTTTAAAAGAAGTATACTTTGACTTAGCAAGTGTATTTGAGGTGGCTCTGAAGTTAATGTTGAGATCTCAACAGCTAATGCTGCTGTTGTTTTTTCGTACTAAAGTCTGTATCAGATTCATATTGGAGACCTGGAGACCACATTGTACATGTTCTTTCAATTAATGTTAAAGCACTAAATGTAGAATTCTTTCATGGTCAGAGTGCCTCAAAGCAAAGTATCCCATCTATACTTGGGTTGAAACTTTGTGGTGCAGTCATATCCTGCTGTTTCTCCTGAGAGCAAGCAGGACTAGTCACGCAAATGCATTCCCTTTAATGAAGCAGCGACCCAGGTAAGTTTTAATTGTTGTACTTTCTTCTTCATATTTTACTGCAAGATCCAAATTAACTTTTTGTGGATTTCCTGGATGTTTCATGAAAAGGGATGAAGTTGCTGATTAGAACATTTTGCCGCTTTATGTGTTTTCTCAGAAGTTTTTGTCCCAGTGATGTTGCTAGGATGAAGTGCCTAAATATGTATGTATAGGGCAGTGTGCAGCATACTTTTCATCCAAGAATTCTTAAAAGCAAGGAAGTCAACAAGTGAATACTCATGGGCAGCTAATTTTCACCATTAGTGAAAAAGAAATCTTCTCTTTGAGGAAATGTCCAAGTAGATTATTATGTTTTGGACAATTCTAAGCATTGCTGCCTATCACATTTTATGATTATAGGTGGCTTTTGGAGTACATTCAGACAAACAGATTTCTGTACTGCTTCATTAAAACATTGGCATTGCTAAAGGGCTCTGTGAAGCAGTGTTGTAGAAGTCACTGAAATTCTAATACCACCTATATAGGATCAGAAAGATTGCAGTTCAGAGGGCTTGGACTTCTGTTGCTGATTTTTGTCAACTGTGATAAAGATCTGTACCTTTATAGACAGATGGAGAAATGGACTGTTTGCTCCAGGTTCACATTGTTTCTCACTCTGAGCTGTGTAAATACAAGGTTTGTTTCTGGGAGCTCAGTTTGATTCAGTCAGTAGAATGACCTGAGCTCCTTTAGAACCTGCACATTGGAAAGGACAAAAGACATTTCAGCTTTATCACAGGTTTTTTTGTCCAGGTGATCAGTGACTTGTGCTGTTAACCCCCTTCCCTCTGGATGTTCAGATCATAATTTGGAATAAAGAGGGATAGCAACCTTAGTGAGAGAATTAAAGACACAGGAACTTGTATGAAAAGTTTGTTTGCCCATGAACGTTAAAAACTTTAAGAGCTGGACATTTGACTAATAAAAGTTTTGCTGTAAACCAGAACATCCCAGAATAGGCAGGAGCAAACTTGCTGTAGCAAAGAGTGCCATTCCATAAAGACAAGATGAGAGTTTTAGTGTGGCATGATTTAGCCTATGAGAATTGAGTAAAAAGTGCTGGAGCTGCCTGGATTGTGTTTGGGATTGTAGAGGGGGCAGTCAGTCCAACTGTGGATACTTTATTTGCAGAGGTGCATTATTTTCTATGGGAAATTGAGAGTCCCTTTGACAAACCAGGATGTTTTCTGCACAGGAGTTCCTGTGTTTGTCTTGCTAGTAAGCAGGAGCTCTGCCGTGTCAGTTCCTTGATGTGAGCTCTGTATAAGGGACTGCCTTTTTTTCAGTCGTTTGGAAGGAAGTGAATGGCTTTTATCAGAAGATGCTGAAGACATCTCCTGTCAGTGCGGAAAGGGCATGAATTTTGCAGCAAGGAAATAGTACATTTCTCAAGCAGTCATCTGAAGTGCCTGCTGGCAGTAGGTTGGGATGTGGATTGACCTGGATAGACACAGTGGTTGAACACCAACTAGATAGACACAGTGGTTGAGCAAGGGTGAAATTGGTGTAGTCATGAAGAGGGTAAGTAGCATCTGACAGAGTGCAGAACAACCTATATGAATTCCAGAGAATGAAACAGGGTAAGATTATTATTTTCCCAGTTAACAGCAGGTTTTAGAAGGGCCTGGAGTGGACCCCAATGTTTGTGTGCCAGAGATGGCTTTAACCTTTCATATGGGACAGGACCAGGGCTCTTTCTTTCTGCTTGAGGTAGGACTGCAGATAATAAAATCTTTACAGCTGACCTTCTCCACCCTCACAAAAACACTCTCACCAGAAAAACCCCTAAAACACAACCTGTGTTATGGGAAATCCAAAAGAGAAGGACGTTGATAATTCTCATGGCACGTCATGTTAGATCTGTTGTAGACTCCTGGGAACAGAGATGGAAATGGAGTCTCAGCCAGTTATAACAGTATTGCTTTATAACAGTAGAGGAAGAGGGTCAATTCTCCTTCACAGAGTGGTTTGTGTCTCTTTCCTCTGGGAAGGCAGGAGGTGCTGCTCTGGGGCCCCTTCCTGCAGGGATGTGTGGTCTGTATGTGTTAGCTGCTCTGCCTGTGCAAAGGGATTAATTCCTAATTGGTTTTAATGTGTAAGGAACCCATCTGTCTGAGGCAGCAGAGGCAGCCTGCATTGGAACAAAGATTAATTTGCCTGTGGAGAGGAGGGTGAATAACATAGTTGGCAGTGCTGGAAGTGGTTTGAATTCCACAGGCAGGTCTTCAGGATACTGGCACAGAGCTGTAACTCTGAAATTAGATACTGTGTGCTGCAGTTGATCTGATTACAATGCAGATCAATTGGAGGCATGGTGAAGTGTCACATTAATTGTGACTTGATTGCCAGAATGTTATAGTTATTTCTAAAATTCTAATATAAAGAAAAATAACTAAACAAGCATCTTTTAGTTTTGCTTTGATACAGGGAGCTCTCTTCTAGGAATCTAAAAGCAAAAACTGCAAGTTTTGTTTCCTATCTTGTGGAAAATGTCTTTTGTCACCTTTGCTAGTTAATGGATTCCTTTTTTTGTAGCAACTGCAACTCCAAGAGAATTTATAATGGTTGAACAAAGATCTAATGCAATCTTTTGGCATAGAATTTCTATCCTTTGATCAGATGTCTTTGAAAGAAAGCTGGCTTTTGTTAAACTGCATGACCTGAATCTGGAAGTGCTATATTGATAAACAGTGAGAAGGTACCAGGGGCTGATGATTGAAAAAGGAGAAAGGATCTATCAGACTGATCCATGTGAGCTGGTTGTACTGGGCAAGAAGACTAGAGTGCTGGATCAGGGGGCATGCCTTGGTGCTGTGGTCAACCACAAATCAGTGATGTGGGTGATACTGGTCATACTGTGTGCTGCTCTGGGGAAATACTGGGGTACAAAGCTGTTGAATGCCAGCACTGTAAACCTGACCTCCACTGAGCCCCTTCAGAGATTGTCACTGTTTACTTGACTGCATTTTTTCACTTTAGTTACCTTGAAGGGTGTTTTCAGGATTGTATCCATGAGATTTCTGTTCTGTTTGAAAGCCAGACTGGTAGAACTCCCGACTCAGGCCACAACAGTAAACCACATGATTCATAAAGTCAACTTCATTTCAGTTAAAACTGTGTGGCTTCTTTCTTTTTCCATGAAGGGAAAGGATCTCCTAACATGATTGTCAAGGGCTGAAATCAGTAAAGTATTATCCCTCAAAGCTCCAGAAGGAAAGTAGATGGTGCGTTTAAATAACACATGCAGGGAGAATTTCCGTGGTTTATGTAAGCAGTTGAGGTGGAAGAGAGTTTTCTACCCTTTTTATAGTGTCAGTTGTATATTGGGCATGGCTCTTGAAGAGGGCTCACATCAGCAGGGTAAAATCTTTGTTTACTTTCACTCTGCAGCACCTAATAGATATGGGTTGTTCTTTGTTTGGTTTTTGTAAATTTTTTTTTTGTTCTCCTTAACCAGCGGACCAAGGAAAATCCCTGTGATGAAGGGGAATCCTTGCTGGCTCCAGGACAGAGCAATATTTCCTGGTAGATTAGTCTCTGATACAAAGCCTGACTAGACAAGGACCTGGGGACTTGCTGTTGTTTGTGCTCACTCTTCTGGCATCTACAAGAATTTGAGCTCATACAGTTCCATGTAAGCATGTGTGCATAGCACTGGTGTGGGAGACCATGATAAACACAAATGTAACACCCTGCAGGGAACAGGGGTATAACTGATGGCCAGCAAGGAGCTTTTTGGCCTAAGACTTCTGTATACTTTGGGCCAAGGGAAGTTTTGGCATAATTTTTGAATGGAAGGCCTAGTATTGCTCTTTGTGGCCTGACGTCTGTTGTACTTTATTCTTGCTCTTTGCTTACCTTTTCATCTTACTGGGAACCTTTGAATAGTTGGAGGTGTTCATCCAGCCAAGGAAGTAGGATTGTCTTTGGAGCAGCCCTCTGTTGTGTTGGTGCCAGGATCATGTCTGGGTGCTTATTTTGTATTAAAGGATGTTTGGAGTAGTAGGAAAAAGACATGAGTGGTTCTGGAATCTGTTGTAAAGACCTGTTGAAGGAGCTAGGGAGACTTGTGAGGAGGGTTCTGTGCCGAAGTCCTCAGTTGCCACAGTGAGTCAAGGTGTGTGAGCACCACAGATGGTGTCTCAGCAGGGAGGGATCCACTGGGGCTGCTGGAAGTGGGGTGTCCTTGAGGCCTTGGGCATGGGAAGGGGAGCAGTGTATGTGAATGGTCAAGAGCAAGTGTTATTACTGTCAGAAAACATCTATTAAATGCAGAAGTGCACCTCAGAGATGACAGAGTTATAGCCTGTGTTAAAATAGAAGGGCACTTTCCAAGAACATGGGTCAGGAAGGAAGAAACCAGGCAGCTGAGAAGAAAAAGATGATGCCAGGGATTGTTCTATGCTTTGTTCACTGTGTCTTTACCCCACTTTGTACAACCTGGACATCTCAATCCATTGCTGGGTATTTAGTTTGAGATTTCTGTGTGCAAGTGCTTAGCTAGGTTATCAGTCAGCCACAGATCAAGACCTGCTTTGTGTTTACCAGTTTTGGCAAAATGACAGTGTGGTAGTCCGTGTCTGTGGTGGCTTGTTTAAATGACCAAATCTGTCTGTAGTGAAAGCTGGATGCCCCATCTCAGGTAAATCGTTTGAAGGTACCAGCAAGGAATAAATGCTTGCAGATTCAGGAAATCCATGTTTCTACACATGATGGAATTATGAAGAAATGGTTTCCACCTCAAGGAACTTGGGGCTCCTTGCATACTGTGACAGTGAACACATATGTAGACAATATAAATTACAGATTATAAACTGCTCTTCTCTTACAGGACATGTCATTATCAGCTATCACTAATCTGACATGGCATTATTTGGTTAAGACTTGTTTTGGACTGCTGGCAAACTGAGAACTTTGAACGTTTTAGAGCCTTTTGGTTGGGCATATTTACATATTTAATAGAAGTATGCATTTTGCTCTGTAAGTTGTTAGGTACAAGCAGAATGGTACCTTGGAAGCTTGTTTTGAAGTTGCCAGGTTGAATGTGAGGCTTTAAATTCTCTGAAGACCTCAAGCTTTTCTTTTAAGAGGCCAATGATTTTTCCATAAAGTCAAAATACCTGGATATTTCCATTTTCTGATAAAGGCTTGCAGCCTCTAACAGGCATGGTATTGGGTTGGGTTTGACTGGCTCATTGGTTTGTGTGTTCTCTTTGCCCATGCCTTCTCTATGATGGTTATCATTGTAACAACTGGTCTCCAGCTGACCATAAAAATGTTTTTATGACTCATCGATGTTAGGGAAGATGAAACAGGAAAGCCTTATAAATATGATTGCCTGGCAAAAGATTTTGAGCGTATAGAAACTATAAGCAAGATTGAAATGAAAGCAAGCTTTGAGATCCCTTAGTTACTGAACAACGGGAAAACAATGGTGTGGCCAGCTGAAGGTAATCCCCTTTTGATGAAACAAGACCCTCTGCTTGCAGACAGGTCCAAGGGCCAGAGCAGACCCTGCCAGCTTGGCAGAAGGGGTCCAAAGAGTAGTTTTTAGGGTTTAAAATGTAGCAGAGTATGGTAATGTAGTGATTCTTATAGGCTGTATGGAAATGCTATAGGATTTGTATATTGTACTAGATTGGTTAGTGAGAATCAGAATATTCAACACAGAAGATGATTTATTGTATTGTAATGGGAACTTCACTCTCCTACCTTTTTTACTCTCTTATGCTTTGGCTCTCTTGCCTTTTACTCTCTTATGCTCTTACCTTCTCATCCTCTCTCTACCCCTCTCTTCTCTCGGGCCTGCCCTGAGCTGCGGCTGGCACTTCCAAGCAGGGCCCTGCACCCAGGCCCTTTGCAATAAACTGCAAGTTCCATGACCTGGCTGCAGAGATCTCTCATCTCCGTCCGTCCCAACTGTGCTACCCCCTGATGCTCCTACAACTTGTCTGCCACAGATTCAGCCTAAAGGACACACCAGAGTTGCATAGAATATCATCCTGGACCTCAGCACTGGTGATAGGAGTACAGAGATGCACACATTGGCTGTATATTCTTTCTCTTTTTGACTGTGTAACTATTGTTATATAAGGGAAGAAAAAGCCCTGTGTAATCTGCAGTGTCTGGGAAGCAATTAATGATTTGAGACTGGTGGAAAGTGTAGAACTTGTTGTGTGGAATGATGCTTGGTTGAATGAGTTACTTTCAGTGATGTTTATTTGCACAACTGTTGGAACCGATGCCTTGAGTTAAAATCTATAAAGCTGGAAGATGTTTGCTCTTGAAGTGAGGAGGAAGTTGCTTAGTTGCTTGTATTATTGATAACACAAATTTTTCTTTTCAGGGCACAGGTGCAGCAAGTTTTGATGAATTTGGGAATTCAAAGTACCAAAATCGCAGAACTATGAGCAGCTCTGATCGTGCGATGATGAATGCTTTTAAAGAAATTACGAACATGGCAGACAGAATCAACCTCCCTAGAAATATAGTTGTAAGTTCATGTCTCTCTTCCTTAAATTGTTCTGGCATTGACTTAGTTAGCATAATATAATGAGCACATGAATTTTTGATATTGCTGCTAATTAAATGGCCTAGAGTTAATTAAATTTCATCTTCTTGCGTTGAAGGATCGAACAAATAATTTATTCAAGCAAGTGTATGAGCAAAAGAGCCTGAAGGGGAGAAGTAATGATGCTATTGCTTCTGCTTGTCTCTACATAGCCTGTAGGCAAGAGGGTGTTCCAAGAACATTTAAAGGTAAGTTTTCAGTGATACAGATTCAATTTTGCTATGAAGGAAAGGTTTAGTTTCTGTCACTGTAGGAGGTTGGCTTTTTTATTCCTGGACTTTGTCAAATTGGTCGTTCTCAGCTGTAGCTCACCTTTGAGGGGAGGGTAGAAGGGTCTGTGAGAATTTGTTGTATTTGTGGAGTAGGCTCTAGGGCATGGGGGTTTTAGCATTTGAAAGTTATTTTAAGTGTTGGTGAAACTTAAAAGGCATTGCTTTGATCAGAAGATGGAGACTGTTGTAACTGATTTAACTGATTTTGAATCAGCAGTTCTGTAGTGAATAGTGCAACTTTTCCCTAACAGAGATACAATTCTCTAGCATTCAGTACCCAAATTTCCCTTACTAAGTGAGCTGTATTAATTAGTGCCTTGTGATAAATGTGCACTGACTGAAGTTTCACAAATGGTCTGAGCTTATTTAGTGATTGTGGCCTTCAGGACATTGTCCTTCTTTGTGGGTCTTAATATATTGAGAATCAAGTTTGATTATTTTGGGGGCAACAAATGCTGTGAAGCCTAAGATTTAATTTATACTCTTTTTTTCAGAAATATGTGCAGTGTCCAGGATTTCAAAGAAAGAAATAGGCCGGTGTTTTAAACTTATTTTGAAAGCTCTGGAAACCAGCGTTGATTTGATTACAACTGGAGACTTCATGTCACGATTCTGTTCTAATCTGGGTCTTCCCAAACAAGTACAAATGGCAGCAACCCATATTGCCCGGAAAGCTGTGGAATTAGATTTGGTTCCTGGGAGAAGCCCTATCTCTGTAGCAGCTGCAGCTATTTACATGGCATCACAGGCTTCTTCAGAGAAAAGGACGCAAAAAGGTAAAACTTGACTTTTTTTGGTCTTTTTTTGGTTTGTTTTTAGTTTGCCATGTCTTTCTTCCTGAAAGAAACTTCAGTATTGCTGTAAAACTTGGATGAGGTCTGTGCAAACAGTGATAAGCTCATTTTAACTGCATACAGCAAGGACCAAACCAGGATCTCCCACTCCCCAGAATGAACATGGAGTAATTGGCTACACTTAGTGTAAACTGAGTTCATTTTCTTCTGGTATTAGGAGTTGGATTCTTGAATGCAATGGACCAGTGCATTCACATGAGCATAATAATTTAAGTTCACATATATTTTCATGTGTCCATTTTTCTGCTCTAAAATATTCCAAACAGGAACTTGATGGCAGTTGCGGGGAGCTCTTGGACTTTGGATTGCATCAAATCTTTAATCACTCCTGCAGCCAGGAATCACCTGCATTAGTACATGGTCCTTGACTTACTGTGAGCCTGTGGTGAAGATGGAAAGTGTGGGATGGCAAGGTTTGCTGTGGACCAGCTGGGGCAGATTCCCTGCTGGTAGGGTAGCCTATGGGGAGCCAGTAAGGAGTTCAGGGCTCTTGAGCTGCAGAGTAGCATGGAATCAGCCCCTGGGGCTCAAGGGAATGAGGCTACAGGGCAGTGATGTCTGGGGGAAGAAGTTTACTAAGGCTGCAGGGGGTAGAACTTGATGTGAGAAATGGATTCAAGTGCTCCTCTGAGTTGTCCAGTCCAGATCAGAAATGTTGAAAATGTAGCAATTTCTTAAAGGAGCATTCCTTTTGGATAAAGAATAGCTTTTATCTGTCAGGTTGTGGTTTGTTCTGCATTTGTAACTGCTTATGTCCTTGGAGCTTCCATTCCGTCCTGTTGGCACTTTCCTGGGCCTATGAGTGATCTGTAGCCCAGGAAGTTCAGTACCTTCATCCTTGCTGGTTGTGAGATTGCATCTCTTAAGAGTGATAGTTAAAATACAGCTGCTTGCCATGGGCACCACAGCTCCACACTGCTCCAGTGGTTTTGGAGAGTGCTGAAGGCTCTCATGCAGTTCAAGGTTTAAATTACTGACCTTTTTTCTTTTTTATTAACTCTTGAATAAATTTAAGTTTCTGTGCATCTCAAGCAAGTGTTCCCTTAGCTTGTTACACAGTGGTGTGTGCCTCTGCCTTATTTCTTGGTGCATTTTAAGGTAAATGTATTTCATGCTTAAGTGAAGGTATCAGTTTTTCTGTGGCTCAGTTTTTTGCTTGTTTTTAGTTATACTTAATCAAAGCATAAAAATGAAGTTCTAGAAGTTGATGGTGATTCGTTAAAGTACTGGTGGTCATATGTAATAGATGTTTCTAATTACTTTTGCCCTCCAATTTGAAGTTTGTTATTCCACTATTTATAGGTTAAGGTGAACTGTAACACATAAGACAGACTTAAGTATCCAAAATATTAGTCACCACAGTTAACACCATTTCTACCAGGCTTTTGGGGGAGTTGAAAATGAAGCAAGTGTCCAGTGCCTCTTGATAAGTTATGCTTGCTGGTTTTTTGAATGTAAATGGCAAAAGTAAAAACTAACCACTTCTCTGCTTTTTGTTGTAGAAATTGGTGATATTGCTGGTGTGGCTGATGTTACGATTAGACAGTCATACAGGCTGATCTATCCTCGAGCTCCAGATCTTTTCCCAGCAGACTTCAAGTTTGATACCCCAGTAGACAAACTACCACAGCTGTGAGATTGCAGAGGGTTAATTTCTGTTAACCCCCCCAAAAAAACCCCAACAAAAACAAACTCTTTATTTTTGCCTATAATAAAGGATGTACAAAGTGTTAATATTGGGTCTTCGTGTTGTGGAACTGGAGGATATGGAGATGGAGCATAACTGCTGGAAGGTAGCATACATTCCAAGGGTAAACAAGCTGATTGTGTGGCATTTTGTATGTATATATTAGTGGAAGTAAATATTTAATATCTGTTGCAACAAATTTAATTTGATACTGTTGTACTTATTTAGATTTCTTTTGTAGGGATCTAGTAAGATGTATTTTGGAGAATTTAAAATATTGTGTAATTCCCAAATAAACTGTTTTCCAAAAACACCATCTTGTGGTATGACTGCAATGTGACATGCACGTACTGTTGTACATGCTGAGAACTGGAATGCAGTCCATGGAATGGTGGAGTGAGCTTCATACTTGTGGGCTTGGTCACAAGGCTGCTTAAATGCTCACTTTATGGACAATTTCTGATCTCTGGAGTGCTCTAGTCGCTGTAGGAAGCTGTAGTGTGAGTGCTTGCACCCGGAATGTAAACAGTTGCTGAAAAGCTGTTCCAAGTTTTGCACAACTGCTGCAGAATATTTCCAAACTGGTTGCAAAAGGATTAATCCCATCCTTGGCACAGTCTTCCTGATTGTCAATGTCTCTGCTTTTCTGCTGTGAATTTGAGGTAATCACAAAGCAGCTACTGAGAAGCATGAGTACTCACTATAGTTGAATTCCTGGTAACTTCATGATGCTTAGTACTGTACAAAGAAAAGTAAAAATGTTTATAGTGTATGTTTGTTAAATGTCTGTCCTGCCAGCCCACCCTGCAGTCTGGCTGGCCTGTGGTTGTTCTAAGTGAGCATTTGTTGTTTGAGCTGATATGCCAGGTGCTGAGTGAAGGCCTGAAGTTGTTCAGCCCTGCCCAGACTAAGAGCTTTGAACACTGGTTGCCTCCTGACAGTGTCCCTTTGTGTACAAAGCAACAAATGTGCTTAACTGGGAGTCTTATGGTTCCTGAGATTTTTGTATCACAGGTGCAAATGCAGTTTAGCTACACAAATAACAGCTGAGGGTTCAGCTTGCTGCACATCTGGTCTAAGCCAGCCAGAGGAAAGGCTGTGTCCAGTGCTAATAGCACTCAATAATTGCCAGTAGTCCTTGCTGTTTGTTTTCTAGTTGAGCTTTAATCCTCTTCTGCCAGTACATACTGGAAATGTGGAGTCTGAACATTTTTTTCTGTAGGTTGTACATTCCTGTTACACCTCAGGAGCTGTTGGTTAAGGCCATGAAGGATTCTGGTGCAGGTATTGGGAGTACGCTCAGTCATTGGCAGGGCATGTATTCATTGTCTGATGTATTGCCTTTGACTTTGTTGCAACATTTTTTATTATCTGGGCATTCCTGGTCTTGGTCTGTACTATTCTGCTTGCATCCTCTGTGAGAAAAGGGGGATGCTGTGAGTGGGCTGGGCCTGATCATTAATGTGTTGCTACAGCTTGGGAATGCAAAGGTGGAAATTGCTTTTACTCTGAGTGCTGCTTTCTAGCATAGATCTGTGGATTAAATCTGCTCCATGAAGGTTGAAAGTGACTGAAATGTACATTTGACCATAATGCTTGCTTATCTTAAATCCTTTCAGGCGTTAGGCATGAGCACTTGACATGTGATGGGTGAGTGTTTGCAGTTGAAATTGTTGCATACAGCAAAGATTGCCTGGACAGGAATTTAAATACATCCGTGCAAAGCTCTGAAGTGCAGCAGCTGGAGGCAGGGAAGTGCAATCCTGCCGTGACCCTGCAGTTCCATAAGCAGTTCCTGTATCTCCCAGGGTGTGGGAGTAACTGTGCAGCACAAAGAGGCAGAACTAGGAATCTCCTTAAAGGGGCAGGTATATTCTGAAGGCCATTTACTACTGGTTGCAGTATATTAGTTAATGTGAAGCATAGCAGGAAAAAATACAGCCTAGCCCTGAGTTTTTAGGCAGCTCTGAGCCCTGTGGTAGCTCCTGCCCGGCCCAGGGGCGGGGCCCGGCGGAGGCACGGCTGCCCTCAGGCTGAGGGCGGGCTCCGGACGCTCGGCTCAGCCGGGACACGGGCCTGAGGGGGCGGCTCAGCAGCCAGCCCGGAGAAGGCAGGACAGGACGATGAAGGGTTGTGTTCCCCACACACAAGTGTGGGGAAGATCTTCAAGCTTTAATTCAACGGCAGTTCACATTAAATCCTTGAAATGCTGAAGCCAGCCCTTTCTGGAACGATTGTTTAGCCAGGTGTGAAGTGTCCGCCTCGGGGCAAAATGGCCGCCTAAAATTCCATGTGCCTCCTAAAAGTAAAGAGTTTCGTTCTAAATGCACTCAGAAGAAAGCTTCATCCTCTAGACTGTCCAAAGAACGAGCTCAGTGCGGGGTAGGTAGGTACAGATTATGGTTTGGTTACACAGCTTGCTAAGGAATGGTGGTAGGAAGGAGACTGTAATGAAGCAGTAGCCAGGAGCAGGGCTGCGTTGTGTCCCCTGTGCCCTCAGGGGAAGCTTGGGAGGGAGAATGCTGAGCCAGGCAGACAGACTCCAGCTGTCCTGACTGCTCCAAGCCAGAGACTGCTCAGAGGCAATTTGTAATGTTCTTTAAAATAAAAAAAAAAAAAAGGAAGCCTACTGAGCTGCCACCAAGAGACTGTGTCCCCTCCTGACATTAAGATCTTTTCTGAAGTTATCTGTGGGGAAGACATGACCAGCCACTTCAAGGAACAGCAAAATCATGTTTGCGACACAATTTACAAATTACTCTATTTAGACCTTTAATTTGTGATATTAATGACTGCAAAACACTTAGAATGACATTTGTTAAAGGCACATTTCATTTAATGCATAGTGTACCATTCTAAAATATCCTAATTTCCTTACAAAGTGCTTGAGCAGCCACATACAGATAAAGTATAGCAAAATATATTTACAATCTAGGGTTTAAATCTTAATCTGCCTAAAAATATTTTAAAAACTACAGAGATAAAATTAGTGCTTTTTTTTCAGCTTAACTGGGTGAACATACCCTGCCCTCTAATTTTTTTAATTTTTTTTTTTTTTAGTGATTTGCTTAGATTAAAAAAAGATTTCTGTACAAGATGTAGTTACAAAAAGGTATACTTTTGTAAGTATTAAGCACCCTGTGAGATGCTTGTGTATATATATATATTTGGGAACCAAAAAGGGCAAGCTGACTGTACCTCAAAAGTATTGGTTTCAGCTAGATACAGGAACATAATTTGTTTCTAGTCAATATAGGACCTGGAAACAAGGAATGCTGAGGAGTTGACTCACTCTTTCCAACGTGATTTGTAGCAGTGGGGAAGGGGCCTGCCCCCTTCCTGTGGGGGATTGGCCTGATTTAGACCTAGTAATGATTATTTTATTTTTCTTTTTTTCTTAAGCCTCTCCCCTGCCTAACCCTGCAGGTCTGTCCAGCATCTTGATTTTAAACCACCACCTTAGCTTTGCATACTCCAGTGGTTTGCGTTTCTTCTTTGAATTAATAAAATTACCAGTTTTTAATTCATTTGAGTGCGATGCTCACTGCCTTAGCCCATGAACAGCAAACTCCTGGCCAGGATGAACCTGTGAGGTTACAGTGCTGAATAGTGCTAGAGGTAAGGACCAGGAGGAAAATTTATTTTCCAAGAGTTAATGTTTGCCCACAGAACAGCAGATGCCAAAAATAGGTCTTAGTTTACAAATACACACAGTGTCTGGTCTAAATTACTTTTCAACTTTTGAGGTACAGCTTTTAGTGTTAAGGGGTTTATAAAATATACACTGTTTTTATCAAAAATATTTATACATTCTATTACAACATATTGCTTTTTACCCTCAGTAACTGCCAATCCAGGGGCTGGAGCTCAGTGGCCTACATGCATACATTTTTTTGTTCACTTGGCCACTACGCAACATCGGTGAAGTGGTACAGTTAAATAACTTGCCTGGAGGTAAGAATACATTACAACTTCCAAATATACATGTTCACAGCATGTATACATTGAAAACGCTTACTTTTCCTAACTGATATGATGATACTGTACAGCAGACAGAGGAGGATGGAGGGGGTTGCATACGGACTGGGAACTTCTCTGCCCCCTCGGGCTGCGGGAAAGGCTCGAGGTGAGTGTGGAAGGGGCTGGGCCTGGGCCTTGCGGCTGCTCCACTCTGGGGTTACACTGAGCAGCGTCCTCCTTACATTCCTCATCCCAACCAGGGCCTTAAGCTATGCTCAAGGAGCTTGAAGGCAAAACTGTTTGGCAAGTGACTTTGGTAAACTCTCCGGAGTTTTCTGGGTTTTTTCTTTGTAATGGAAGCACTTACACAGTTGTTATCTCAAAGGCAAGGTCTTTAACATTTTTCCTAATAAATACCATAGAAAATTTACAAAACAAGGCATATCTGTTCTCAATAGCATTATTTTAAGAACACAAGATGAAGGTGTACGTAAAAATGTGTAGTTTTAAAGACTGCACAATGTTTAGCAGAAATCATTTGCCTTCTCCGACTAGAACCAGGTTCTGTGTGAGTGTCACCAGTATCCCAACTTACTTCAGGGTGGCTGAGTGGAGATTACCTAGCTCAAAGTCTGCTTTTCCCACGTAAGGCAGATACTTTAAAAAGCGTATTATCTGCTGTGGAAGAGTGAGAGGAACTGTACAGATCCACGTGCGCCCGTGTGCGGGAAGTTCAACACAGCCTGGGTTCACCAACTCAGCTTAGGAACGGCATAGACCTGCTTTCCAGTGCTCAGATAAAAAACAATATACAAAGAGGCCACTCTTCAAAAGAGTGTTAAAACAGTACTTAAAAGGATCTTCATGTGATTTAAAAAAACCCAGAAGCTGCAGGTGGCACAGAAAGCAATTGAAGGGTCAGTATTCTTCAGAGAGAGGCATTCTTGTGAGCCAGTCAGCTGGGGCTTCACAGTGTGTGGAAGTTAACACCAATCAGCAATGTAATCAAAATCTCTGAACATTTCCTGCTCTTCTTCTGAAAGTATCCTTGGTTCCCGAGGTGGAGTGAGGATAGGTGCTTCAGAGGTAAATTCATCATCAAAATTACTGACATCTTCTCTTCCTCTAATGGTAGGGACGAAAGGAGGCTTGACTTTCTTGGCCAGTAAAGCATGCCAATCTATTTGCTGTAAAATAAATCAACTGATGTTTAGTTTCCCATCTCTACTCCTTTGGGTTCTTAAAAATAATACTAGTTTGTACTCACCCTGAAAAAGTGATGCTTTTTCACATCCTCAGCATCTTTCTCTCCAGCCCCAAGACGTCGCTCTGGGTTTCTTCTTAGCAGCTGAC